ACTCTTTCCAGGATATATTGATACCACAGGAAGAAGCTGTTTATACTAGATGGGGCTGGGGTGGATGTTAAAATCACAATTATAATTAGTCTTTATATGTGTGTTCCTTTAGAGATCCATGTTACTTCTCTTCTTCCATTGCTAAGAATGTGTATTTATAGAAAGTTGCTGGCTTTTTAAATCTCTTACTTGTTTAATTTTTAATGTTTTACTATTGGAATGTTAGCCCCAAAGTTTTTTCTCTTTTCTTGTTCTTAGGCCTGAAATGTTTGAGACGGCAATTAAGGAGAGCACCTCCTCCTCTAAGAGCCCTCCAAGTAAGCATTTGCTGCAGAAAACATGCTGTTAGACACTTACTTTGCAGCACTAATTTAGAAAATTGTTGAAAGAGTGGCTATTGAGACAAAACCAGGAAAGCTCATTCAGGGTTCGGGTTTGGACTAGTTTACAATTTTTAAGTTCTCTAATACCTATGGATCTCCACATATCTGATGCTCTACGAAGGAAGCACCACGAGGAAGAGAAAAAAGTGAAAAGCGTCTTTCAGGAAGCCTAATATCACAGAACAACAAAACATGACATGAAAAGGAACAAAGTTGGGTTAAAATACTGTCTTTTGTAGTCTGAATTGTAAGCACTTTATTAGGGAAGATTTAATTACATCTGTATATGTTCTAATCTCAAGTCTCTGTTTTAAGGAAAAATAAATTCATCGCCCAATGTGAATACTACTGCATCAGGTGTTGAAGATCTTAACATCATTCAGGTGACAATTCCAGGTATGATCTCTCTGCCTTAATCAGTTTGTGGGGCTTCATGGATGTTGAATGCACTGCACATTGTGTGCTGTCCCCACCAGCCCCTGCAGAAGTTATTAACCAAATACATCACCTTGTCAGTTTATCGCTAAACAGCTCTTGGCAGTTATTAGACTCGGCATGAGCTGAAACCTGTAGGCCACCCAGATGCCCAGGGTGTTGTTTAAAATATCTGTATAAGACGGCAAGCAAAGCTCTTCATAACTGCAGCATTGTCAGTTTGGTGTTATTATTAAATTGTTTGGTTAAATCATTTCAATCTTGATTCGTTTTTTAAAACATTCCAAAAACAGAAAGTGAAGTTACATAAAGCACCTAAAAATTTATCTGGTATTAAAATCGCATTGCTGGGCTTCCCTGGTGGCCCAGTGGTCGAGAGTCCGCCTGCCGATGCAGGGGACACGGGTTCGTGCCCCGGTCCAGGAGAAGTCCACGTACCGCCAAAAAAAAAAAATCGCATTGTTAAGTTACAACTTTCTCTTAACCTTTTTAGATGATGATAATGAAAGACTGTCAAAGGTTGAAAAAGCTAGACAGCTAAGAGAACAAGTTAATGACCTCTTCAGTCGAAAATTTGGTAAGTTTTGCATTTGCATAGTATAGCTTGCAGTAAGCAAGGAAATTTTGTCTCAATAAGATCTTAAAAGTAAATTATGCTCAGGTAGTTTTAATCTGTGCTTTTACAACACTCAACTAAGGTGCTAGGTTCATCTGTGCTTTTATGCCGTTTGTCTTGCTGTAGGTGAAGCCATTGGTATGGGTTTCCCTGTGAAAGTTCCCTACAGGAAAATCACAATTAACCCTGGCTGTGTGGTGGTTGATGGCATGCCTCCTGGAGTGTCATTCAAAGCCCCCAGCTATCTGGAAATCAGCTCCATGAGAAGGATCTTAGATTCTGCTGAGTTCATTAAATTCACAGTCATTAGGTACGTGAGAGTTCCTTGCTTGGTCATAAGAATGAACCTGCAGATCACTGAGGCTGAGTCATCTTCCAAAATGTAGTCATATGTAGTAAGTTTACCGTGTAATGAAATGAACTATAGTGAAATTCTTTAGTTACTGTACTATTAGATTCTTTCTTCCTTGTGCTGACTCAGTTCTCTGGTTTTTAAGGCAGGGGATTGTTAGCACACCATGGCCTGTGGACCAGCTCCAGCCTGCCATCTGCTTTTATTTTACTTTTATGTCTTATTATAACCCAGTCACATCCGTTTGTTTACATATCGTCTGTGGCTGCTTTCATATTGCAGTGGTAAAATTAAGTAGTTGGGACAGAGACAGTGTGGTCTACAAAGCTGGAAATATTTACTGTCTGGCCCTTTACAGAAAAATGTTGCCAGCCTCTGCCTCAGGCATCTCTTCACAGGCTTTGGATCAGACAGGGATTCAATACTAAGTCACTTCTGTTTCCTTGTCTGTCCAGTGAGATTATAGTTGTTTCCTCTGAGAGTGTTAGCTCCTTATCCACAGAGTAGGAATGATGGTTACACCTGCCCTCTAACAGCACTGTGAGAATTACAGTCTTTGATGTGTGCTTGTCATAGTAAGTCTTACAGTGTCCTGTTGTCATCCACCTAAGCGCAAGTCCCAAGTGCCCTTCACTCTTCTTCCACCGCCCCAAACTTAGCTGTTACTAAGTAGCGCCCATTCATTGTCAAGTTCCCACTGTCTGCATAGGACCAACACTCAGAAAGAGCTAATGTATTACCTTCCCAAGGCGTTTTCCTCATTTCACTAAAATTACTCTATTCCCTTTGCATTGTTCCTATTTTTTCCCCACCATCTTGGTGTAGCATTTTCTAATAATGTGCCATATTAGTTATTCGTATATCTGTCTGTCTGTAGATTAAAAAGTATAAGGTTAAACAGTAGTGGACAGCTTTTCTCGTTCTAGCACGTAAGCGACATGGACTAAATGTTAGTTGAATAAACTGAATATACATGTAAACTCTTGTAGAGTAGAAAAAAAAACTTGTACAATTTGTTTCTCTCTTTAGACCATTTCCAGGACTTGTGATTAATAACCGTGAGTATTTCTTGAAGTCTTTTTGGTTTTTCTCTTTTCTGGGATGTGAGAAGGGGTGTGTGTGTGTGTGTGTGTGTGTGTGTGTGTGTGTGTGTGTGTGTGTGTGTGTGTGTTTGTTTGTTTATTTATTTTGCCTAACTAGAGAGAGTGTTTAGCTTTCATGGAGGAGTTTGATTCATTTACTTTTCTCATGATGATTGATACGTTTGACTTTACTTCGTGTGTGTGTGTGTGTGTGTGTGTGTGTGTGTGTGTGTGTGTGTGTGTGTGTGTGTACGTATGCTTACCTGAGAGTGTAACATTTTCTTACTTCACCTACAGCAGTCTGGGATGTGAGAAGGGGTGTGTGTGTGTGTGTGTGTGTGTGTGTGTACGTACGCTTACCTGAGAGTGTAACATTTTCTTACTTCACCTACAGCAGTCATCATTCAGAGTCGTCGTTTTAGCCCTCAGTGTGTGAGGCACCAGGCACTTTCTAGATGTAAAACTGGGCGAGTTGCTTCACCTTTTTAAATCTCAGTTTACTTATTAGGAAAATGGTAATGATATTAGTACCCATTCTAGGAGTTTTAGAGCATTTTAAATGACACATTATGTGTCAGGCCTCTAAAACAGGGACCCGCAAGCTGTGGCCGTGTAAATAAAGTTTTATTACAGCACTGCCAGGCCCATTTGCTTATTATGGCAAACTGGACTGACCTGCAAAGCCTGAAATACTTACTGCCTCTTTGTGATAAGACCCCTGACCCTAGTATGTGCTCAGTAAGCAAAATCTATATTTGTTACTGTTTTTACCACTACTGTTATTACTTTTACTATTAGTTTGTCATTACTGGGCTGGAAAAAGTAAGTCTTTTAATGTGATTTAGCTACCTCTGTTGATATTTAGGCCTAGTGTCTGGCAGCCACTGGGCCCTCACATACTGTTGCATGAACAAGTGTAAGTGTTCTTCCAGTTCCCTGATGTTCGTATCAGTTTAAACAGTGTTTTTTTTTTTTTTTTAGCAAAACTTAATTATGCTAGTATGTTTTATGTTCTTCTGTTAACTTGGTTAAAAAATTTCAGAAGTGAGAATTATCCTTCACTGATACCATTAGCATTTCAGTCTTTTTTCCAACTGGTATTATTCCATCTCTTTAAAATCCATCTGTATTGAGTATTCAATTGTATACTTTATTATTTGTTGGGAAAGTATTCAGGAGTTTTCAGTGGTCACTGAGCAGCTGAGCCTCGTGAGTTGCTGGTTTGCTCCCTGAGCTGAGAAATTGGGCCGCTGTTGTGCCTGCCCCCACCCCCCTGTTCTGCTTCACACTATTGATGCTGTTCTGTGGCCACCACTCCTTCAGTGTCACGGATTTGGTTATATCTCTTCTGCCTCCAAGTTTCGAGTTTCACTTTATCACAAAATATATTTATTTGCTTTTTCCCCCAAGCCATGAGTTCTTTTTCTGTAGAATCTGTCTTTATTATACTGTCTATCTTGGCCCAAGTATGTTAGTATCTGGGGATGTCAGTAATGAATGAAAGGGAAGTAAACCTTCCTTCATAGATTTTCAGTCATCTTTGGCATTCAGCTTTAACAACACCCTGGAACTTTGTCATTTAAAGAAACCCCATGATAAGGTGTGGGGTTTCTTTGGGGGGAAAAAATGTATTGATCCCATTTCATCTACCTTCTGTGTAATTTTTAATTTCAAAAGACACTGTGTTTTATGCCTCCCTGCTCCTTTACCTTATGTTTAAAATGTTCAGTTTTGTTCTTTTCCTTGTGCCCTAGTCTATTATAGAATTTTATGGTAATTACTCTGAATTAGTTACTTTGATGGGACATGCTAGAATTTTTAATATTTGTTCCTTTCTTGTCATAAGGAAAATAGTGCCTGTTATAGCAAAGTTGGAGCATCAGATTAGAGAATGTATGTAAAAAATGCTTTTCAAATATAACAACATATCATTAAATTATTACTTAAATGAATCTGCTTTCTTTTCAGAGTTGGTTGATCAGAGTGAGTCAGAAAGCCCAGTGATCCAAGGTAAATTAAACATGGTAAAATATAGAAGTATTCCTACTGAGTCAATAAAACAGGTCACATAAATTCTGTGGCCTCACATGCTTACATTTACCTAACTTCAAGGAAAGTTAATTCCACAGCACGCACGTACACACATGTGCACACACTCGTGCACATGCAGACTTGTTTGCTTGGACCCCTTTGTCTGAAAGCCTATATAAGCTCAAGCCATAGGTCCTCACTGAGAACTGGACCACATGCCATTTGTTCCCACCGTCCCAGGTCAGGAACCCTGAGACCAGTGGCGAAGAATGCAGCTGTGGGGTGATGCGGGGAGAAGGTTGTTTTCTAACTTGGCTTCTTATGCCATTTGTTTCAAGTGGTTGCTATAAACCAAAATCATGTTGGGCGGAAATGCATGCATTGTAGTTTTAAAAAGTCCTTAGAAACAAAGTGTTGGGCCTGCTGTGTGATTCATTGAAAGTAACAAAAGGCTTTTATTAGAAGGGAGCCCACAGAAGAAAGGGGGAAAGACATAGAGAAAGAAACTCCTACTTTCATGTTAGAGCTAATGTTAATTAAGATTGTTATTTAAGATTTCGACTGTGTAGGCAAATTTAACAGGTTTCAGAAAAGCAGGTTCTTGAGAGTCTGGTGGAGTAACAGTGTATTTAATCCGAAGAATCTGTGGCTGCTGTCTCACCTAGACATGGGCTTTGTGTACAACGTCTAGAGAGCTTTCTCCCTCTAGGCTCTTTAAATAACTGAAAGCAACTTTTGAAAAATGTTAAAGTAAAATCTTTACATATTTCTCTTCAGAGTCAGCCGAGCCGAGCCAGTTGGAGGTTCCTGCAACAGAAGGTAAAGAGAGTAGTGTGGTTGTCAAAAATAAAGTGCCAAAGACAAAGGATTAATTGTGTTTTTAAAGCTGTTTAACTGGACCTCTGCGGTTGTTTTGTTTCTGGGTGAACTGGATTTGTAGTTTATGCCCAGAAACATTGTGTTTAGAGATGACTCATGGGTTCTCTTCCTCCATTTTCCCCAGACGACTCTTAATGAATTCTGAAATAGTTGAATGACTGCTGTATAACCTAGATATAGCTATTGTGGGTCCTTTACATGCATAATTAATAAGATGTTTGTTAACTTTGAAAATCTAAGTAACAAAATTTAGAACTTACTGCTGGAGAACAGTCTTATCATTTTTAGTATCTTATAATTCCTGTTAAGTCATTGTAATGAATAGTTTGGTATGAGTAGATTTATAATTGAACAGATTTGCATTAATAGTGCGGTTAATCGGTTCCGTTTTGTTTCACTTGATAGAAATAAAGGAGACTGATGGAAGCTCTCAAATCAAGCAAGAACCAGACCCTACGTGGTAGACCTCTTCCCTCCTAGGGTAAATCAGCTTCTGTGTCCGGGATGCCATGTGGTGTCTATCTGAACCCACCTGCATATTCATAGGCTAAAGGGTTTTCCCCGCTTCAGCCATAAATGGTGGCCCCACCTTCAGGGCACGTGAGGACAAAGTATAAGCATTACTGGGTGGTTTGAGCTAGAAGATTCAAGCAGAGAGATTTTCCTTGGATCAGTATATGTCAGGCAAAGAAGGTAAAGCGCTTTGCCTCAAAAGGAAAATGTTTTGTTTCTAATCTATAGGTTAGATTTTGTTTAATATATACAGATTATATAGGTCATATATAGATAACCTATAGATTTTGTTTCTGATCTGTAGGTTAAATCTTGTCCTTGCCATTGGAGTTCACTGTGAGTCAGTATGAACAGACTGACTTTTTTCCCTAATCATAATAGCAGTATTTGCAGAGTCTGGCTGAGCTACACAATCCATTGTGCATCTTGCATAATTAAGTTATAAGCCTGATCCACTTATTCCAAACATCTTAAACTTGGCCAGGTTACTACCCAGGAGGGGCAGCTCTAGACCAGGGGTCAGTGAAACTTGGTTTTCATGTCATATTGAACCACACTAAGCCCCAGCTGTTGAATGTTTTCATGATAGTTAGAGGATGCAGTTAGCTCTCATCTGTACCTGATACTCCAGAGACTTTTTTGGTCATGGAATTGGCCATGTACTGTCAGTCCATGGATTTAAGTGGTAATTAAGTTGAGATATTAGTGAATCACAAATTCCTATAATCAGATTAACCTGTTTTCTTGCTTGTTTGTTTTCTCTCCTATTTTAGCTTAAAGTATCAGTGGGTGAGAAGAGCTTTTCGGACCTGTTACTGCCCCAAGCTGTGTAATATACTTGTATAACAGAAATACCTTCTATACAAACCTTTTTTTCTACTTTTAGATAGAAATGTCTACTTTTTCAGCAGTTCTGTGAATTGAATTAAAGAGCAGAGTGACTGTAGATTTGGAATGGCTGGTTTACTTTGGAATGTATTATAAGGATTTTACAGCAGTGCTGGAAAAACGACAGGGAAAATGACAGGGATGAATCTCATCAGATTTTTTACGTGTTCAGCAGAGCCTTCAGCTGTGGTGTTTGTTTCCCAATCAAGTGAAGATCTCTCCTACTGGAGCATCTCAGCTTCTGCAGTGAAGAAAATACCTGCGATAGTTCAGCTCTTTAGCTTTTCTATTTGAAAAATCACTTAATTGATCCTTTTGTTCACGGTTCTCCTTAATGACTGAGTGAACAGCTAGTATCTGTATATTTGACTAAACCTTTTCCTAAGCTCTCTATCATGGTTCATATGTTTTTTATCGTAATTAAAAACCAACCATCTGGATCACCTAACAGCCAGTGAGAGGTCCGTATCTCAGCGTGTGGCTTATAGATGGAGTACAGAGAACCTCTTCCATCCACATTTACTTTTCATCCAAATAAAATGCATGGTGTACCAGAAGTTTCAGATCAGGTATAAGTGTTTGGGCAAGCCGAATGACACTAAAGCCTCACTATCGTGTAACCCATTGTGGTGTGGAATTCTTTGGAACACTATTCCAGCTTGGATCAGGGGGTTTCATTGCCTTCATTACTTTACAATTCTACTTGTAACGTTGAGGCTCCAGTGTGGGGAGTGAGGGGTCAGTAAGCTGATTAGGCACCCTCTGTTATTCTGCGCCATTTGTAGGAGAATCTTACATGTGTTGAGATTTCACAAACAGTAAGAGTTGTAAAATACCAGCTATATGAAAAGCTAGAGTATGTGATGGCATAGAGTTTTCATTAGCTTTATCACAATATTCACGATGGAGAATTATATTACATGGTAGCAGAAATAGGCATTTTTATGTGTTGCTTATATTTTACCTCAAATTAAATTGTAGATATAGGGTAATAAATAAAATCCATCCATGCCTTTCACACACTAATTCATTTCTTTCTAAGGTGTTTTCATGACTGTGTGGGGAAACCTGGGGTGGCTCGGCGGAATGCAAGGCGAGGTTAGGTGGGCACGGTCCAGAGGCTCAGTCCCTCATCAGGACACCACTGCTCACGGTGTGTCTGAGACCGCTGTGCCTCTGGGCTGAGCTGGGGCTGGAGCCCCCAGCTTTTTATCTGTGACATGCCAACTGTATGCAGCATACGCATGATGTTGGAGGTCAGGGTCCCTCCCCGCGTAGAGCCTGTATGTCAGCCCCTCCCCCATGAAAACCACACACTGGCTCCGGGTCTTCTCTGTCCCTCTCCACCATCACCCTCTGCCTCTCCTTGACCCTTACAAGTGTGACCTCAGGGAAAGCCAAACTGGTTTGTTCCTAACTTACCAACTGACATTAGGAGGAGACAGCTGCTGCAGTAGAATCTCCGGGTTCCTTTCCCGTGTTCTTAAGGTGTTCACAACCTTGCTGCCTCCACCCACGCTTCCCATCCCAGCCACTGGAGAACCGTAGTCATCCAAAGGCTGCTTTTAAAAGGAGTTAAGCTTGTACATGTAACTCTTTAACAGAAAGTTTAAGACAAAGAGATCTGTTTCCCAGTGTAAGTGTATACATCCAGTATGAAAATTCTGTATATATGCATACACACATCTTTTGTTTTTATATATACTATTAGAAAGCTACTTTTATATATATATATATATGTATATATATATATATACATATATATATATATATATAAAGTTTCTTAACGTCTAGCAAGTGCATCCGTTTCTGTACTGCGGACAACAGCACAGAACCAGTGCTGCATCCTCTTCGTGGTGATACGCAAAAGGTTTAAGAATGCTGTCCTGTTCCCTTCTGCCTCTCCTCTAAACAGGCTTATTGGTTCCTTTAAGAAATGTTGAACCTCAGGCAAGGGGTGCTGTTCCTGCATCTGTCTTTGAGTGGAAGAGCCCGGAGGTGGAATAAGTCATTTTTTTTTTATTGACTCACTGTCGTTTTAACATACCTCATTAACTCTGCTTCCCACAGTCGGGCGTCTCAGCAAAGCTTTCCGTAGGACAGCATTGTTTCCTGGAGAGGTGACTGGCTTAGCAATTTGCCTCCTTACCTGCGGTGGTCAGATTAGCCCTGGTCTCAGCACCGCGGGCTTTTGTTTAAAGATGGCTGGAGTGTTGCCCTGGCTTGCTCATTTGGAGCCCAGGAACCGTCTACAAGACAAGCCTTCCACCGCCTGTGTTAGTGAACAGGTGGTGCATTCAGAAGTGAGACAGTGGATAGATAACGTGATTCTTCAGGGGGTGAGGGGTGTTAAAACTTGGCCACCAAGGTCTTCATTAGATCACTAAGGACCGGACTGAAGAAACAAACGACAGTTCACATAGGCTCATCAGTAATTCTCATGTGTTTCTGGAACACGTCCTGATTCCCTGATAGTTTATGGTTAAATCTTATTTTACCAGGAAATGCAGCAGAATGACTGGGAACATAGGCCTTGTGACCAAATCCAAGCTCTGCTTCTGGACAGCTGTTATCTTAAGTAAATTGCCAACAGAAAAACGGTAGAACCAAAGAAATGTGTCCATCGCAGGATTGTATGAGTTAAACCCTGTTTGGTGGAGTTGGGCCAAGTGCTAACGACCCCATGCCCAGCTCTGGGCCTTGGGTGGCGGGGAGAGCCGAGCTCTGTTCATGGGGAAGCCTCTGCCCTCGGGCAGTTGGCAGAGCTGCTGTGGGCATGGCTGTTGGCAGTGCTGAGAGAAATCTCTGCATTTGCCCAGCCTGCCATCACTCAGACTGTGCAAGTGCACATAAGCTTACCCTGTTGAGCATCCTAAGAGACATTTTTATCTTCTCATTGATCTAAATCATCTGTGATGCAGGAAGTGAGGTTAGGCTTATTCACTGTGCATTCACGCCCTATGCCCAGGTCACCTTGGGATTTGAGAGATGAGTAAATAAAGACAAGAAATGAAGTCATTGGCACAGTCTTACCTCCGAGAATGGGCCCCGGTCTATAGCGCCCATTGTCGCCAGGACAGAGCTGCCTACTATGGCAGGCAGCCAGTGCCCCTTTGAAGTAGGCTGGCTATGTGAGCATCCTCTAGCTTCATTTCTGCCTTTTCTCTTTCCTCCCCACCAGGAACCGGAAAGGTCCGTCGGAGAGGGAGATTGAGAGGCCAGACCTCTCCAGTTTCCACACCCCAAGCCCCAGTCTAAATAAACTCAAGATCCTGGTTGGCTTAACCATTAGTGGACAGGTAACTGTCACAATCTGGTCTCGCCTTGCTAAGTGGAAGCCCCACTTTCTGGACTATGTATTTTGAAAGATGTGGTGGTCTCGCACGGATGCCTCGGTTTCCCTATGATAGGGAAGAAGAAGGAGACAGGATTTGGGGAATTGGGGCAGTCTCTGAGGTCCCTGTTCTACGCAGCCCTGAGTCCAGTAGGATGAGCACAAGTGGGGCTGTGTAGCCTTCTGGTTAGACCCCGTAGAGTTATTCTCCAACCTCTGCAGGTTGGGTTTTCTGTTTTACTCCACTACCTGCTAAAGGGATGGTTAGCTTTCTGCACTTCCCCTCATGGCTGCCAGCTTTCTTGGCTCAAAAGGCAGATGTGAAAGCGGCTTGTAGCAGGTTGTTGAAATCACAAGTTCCTCAGGGTATGGTGGCCCGTTGACGAGTCACAGTGGGTGGGCCTAGCTGCTGCTCCAGAGGGGCTTTGTAACCCTGGGTGCTGGGTGAAAAACAGCAAAGCTCCTTGGCTTCCCAGCTCACCTGCTCTGGTCAACAGTGGTCTTGTGTGTCACCTCCCTCCTGTCCTGTCTCCCCCCCCCACCGTACCTTGTGGTTTTATTTTGAGGAAGTGTCAGGAAAGGTAGCACTGAAAACAAGCTATGACACCACCCATTTGTAACCGTGTTTCCGGCTGGGTTTCCTTCTCGGAAGCAAGAGCAGGTGGTTGATGGGCCTTTTGTAGCATCAACTTCATGAATGATCTCAGGATGCCTGTTTGAAACCCACAGAGCCTCAAGTTGTAGAAAGCAATAATGACCCTCACCAAAGACCATGTGCTTGGCAGTGCCTGGGGGAACCTAGTGAGAGCTGTTCCCACTCGTTTCAGTAAACGAGTAGCCCCGACTCATTTACTGAACGAGCCCCAGCCAGAGGCAGCAGAAGAGAAAGCCCACTTCCAAGACTCCTAAGAAGATTTAGATAAATCCTGAAAGGATCTATAGATCTGCATGCTCTGTAATTTAGACAAACTGTCTGCTCCCTGACAACGACCCATCTATCAATATATCCTCTAGGGAAAACTCCCTAGTGAAAGATAGCAAGTGCAGGTTTCCAGAAAGGCAAGGTCAGAGCAGGCACCCTGTGGCATGTGGTCAAAAAGCCGTAGCAAGTGTTGGCTCTTCGGCCTTCAGAGGAGGAGCTTTCTGTCTCAGGCGAGTGGCATCCTTGACCCTGGTGCTTGAGGCAAGATGGGACCCTGCCAGGAACCTTTGTAAGCAAACCATCTGTCTCCAGGTGACAAGCCCCTCACCCCAGACCTGTGCGTCTTTACTGTTCTGCACCCCCTGGGCAGTAGCAGAGGTACCGAGCCCTGGGCAGGTCTCAGACGGACTTCATCACGCCGCCAGCTTGCTCCTCTGCGCTGTGTCTGGGCTGGGGAGATGTGCAAATGGCAGCCCAGCCCTGGTGACGGGATTTAGGCGGGAGTTCCCGTTACTGGAATTAGCTCCAAGCTCTAGACAAATCACCACAAAACCCCCTGAGGCGGCAGCATGCTGCTGGATTTAGCCTTGCTGGTTGTTCAGTGAGCTTCAAACAGCCACGTGACACACCAGGCCCTAGGGAGGAAGTGGGGCGGGGCGGGTGGGCACAGGCAGTCCCTGGGGGCCAGCGTTGGGCTCCTGGCTTTGGAGTGGGACCAGCTTGCAGAGTTCCTGTCCATCTGGTATTTGTTAAGGGCCCTCTTGGTGGCAGGACCCCTGCTAGACGCCGCCGGAGTGCAGAGGGGACAGCCCCAGCCCTGCCCCCCAGAACAAACTGCTGTCCATGCCCTTAGCTGCTGTCCTCCGCAGCCTGGTCTGGGAAGTACCCATCCCACGCCTACGGCCCCAGGCACTGCTGAGCTCTCCCAGGCCCAGGCCAGGGGCTGCGCCGTGCACTGACGGCTCCTGTGAAGGCTGCCCTGGGGTCTGAGGCTTGCACAGTTTGCCCCAGCAGCCTGGAGTGCCAGCTCTCGTCCATGTGACACTTCCCTCCTTCAAGGCCCGGTTTAAACGGCAAGAAACTGCCTCGGACCTCCCTAAATCCTCCCAACGGTCCACAGAGTATGTACTGTTGCTAATGCCATTTTACAGATGAAAAAACAGGCCCGGACCTTGCCCAATCCTGTATGGGAGGAGGTCAGTGTGGGTTGGGTTCCGGGCCATGTGCTCATAGCCAGCGGTTGGCGTGTATGTGGCCTCCTACAGACCAAAGGCTCAGTCTGATTCCTGTGCATGTCCAGCACTGGAGCCCTCACTCCTATGTCCCTAGGCCAAGGACTGGACAGCAGTGTCATCAGGCCCAGGGGAGAAGGAATTCCCACATGTGGCTCGGGTGTGTCCTAAGCCCCAGTCCTGAGTGCAGGCTCCCGGTTCTCTTCTGATGAGGCCTCGAGGTCCATCCCTGACCCAGCCTGAGCCCGCTCCTGGTCTGATTTGCTGAGAAAGGAAGGCTCCCTTCCCAAGGGTCCCTTGGGAGGCAGGTTGTGCGTGGCCGGCATTTCCACGCAGACCCCTGCTTGCCCTCAGAGCCCCTGCACAGCCAACCTCGCCGCTGAGGGCGCCCTCAGCCTACGGGCCAGCCGCGGCCCGGGGCCCCTCCTCCTCCAGGCGCCAGGCAAGAACTGCCTAGCTGGGGACCAGCGGGAGGGGCTTAATTTAGACTTGGGAAGAAGGGTCCTGTAGCCAGGGCTGCTTTGTTCCCGTCTTG